TAAATTGTTAACTATTCTTCAATGTTTTGGGCTCTATCAAGTTCTTGATACCCCAACACGAATAACAGATACAACAGCCACACTTTTAAATGGTATTGTGACATCTAAAGATTGGCTAGTGGAGAAGGGTGTCATCCCAGTAACAGGTATTATTGCTGATCATGATATTGCTTATTGCAAATTAAAAGTTTATTTGGAGAAAGAGGGACCGAAAACAGTAACTTATAGGAATTTTAAGTTTTTTAATGAAAACGACTTTCTGCGAGACTTGTATAATATGCCTTTTTTTAGAATATATGATCAAGAGGGGATAGATGAAAAAATTAATTTTTTGGTAAACTGTTTGAATAATTTGTTTGATAGACATATGCCACTAGTGACAGCACGGATAACTAAGCCGCGAGCTCCCTGGCTTACCGGTGCAATAAGGGAAATGATGGATATTAGAGATAAAGCCTTTAAAAGGTATAAAAACACTAAGTCAGATGCCCATTTCCAATTTTATAAAGATATGCGAAATTACACAAACAGTGCTATAAAACGGGAGAAAAAAGCTTTCTTTACATTTGAGTTTAATAATAAAAATTCTAAACAATTTTGGAAATCACTGAAAACATATAGAGTCTTGCCTGTTAAAGAGTGCTCCATTCCTGATCGTCTTAATAACCCTGTTGATATTAATAACTATCTTATAAATTCTGTTGCTGGATCTCAACCCCCTGAATATTTAACCTTATTTTATAATAATAATAGTAGAATAGATTCTAAATTCAATTTTACTGAAATAAACGATTTATTTGTTTCGCGAGCTATTGCAGAGATAAAGACTAATGCTACGGGGGGTGATGGAATAAGTATAAGACTAATTCGATATTGTTGTCCACACATTGTTCAATATATTACGCATATTATTAATTTTTGCCTAACTAATAATATTTTTCCGCTTTCATGGAGGAGAGCGGTGGTGAAGGTGTTGCCAAAAAAATCAGATCCTCGAGAGTATAAAGATCTTCGACCTATTAGCATGTTGCCAACATTATCTAAAATCTTAGAGAAAGCTATAGAAGTGCAACTTAGGAAACATATTGACGCCTACTCTTTGTTACCTGTAACTCAATCAGGTTTTCGTAAAGGCTATAGCTGCACAACTGCTTTACTCCATGTGGTGGATGATATTATTAAATCTTTGGATAAGGGTCATTGCACAGTTTTGGTCCTACTAGATTTTAGTAGGGCATTTGACACTCTTAACTATAAATTAATGTCATCTATTCTAAGTAATTTAGGTCTTTCCCAGAATGCAGTGTCTCTTTTAAATTCATACCTTACAAATCGACAACAGCTAGTTACGATCAATGGTCAGTCTTCTCCTTACTTAGATCTCCAATGTGGTGTACCCCAGGGTTCTATTTTAGGTCCCTTACTCTTTGCTCTGTATACATCCAATATTTTAAAATGCCTTCAAAGCTGTAATGCTCACTTGTATGCGGATGACACTCAACTTTACTACAGTTTTGACCCCAATAAAGTAGATGATGCATGTGCTTGTATAAATAGAGACCTTGAATTATTTGTAAAATCAGCTTCTGACCACTGTTTGAAAATAAATTGTAGCAAATCTAATGTTATTGTCTTTGGTACTAGATATAAACGCGATTCTGTATTAGAGAATGTAAACATATTAGTTAATAACGAGCGTCTTGAATTAGTAAATCATGTTAAAAGTCTTGGTGTAGTTTTAGATGCTGATTTGCGATTTGAAAAACATATAAATAACTTAATTGGGCGTGCATACTCAACAATCAAATTGATATATGGAAATAGGCAGTTCTTATCTTATGATATCAAGAAGCTTTTATGTGAAAGTCTTATTCTCTCGATCTTTAATTATGCAGATGTCCTGTATGGGCCATGCTTAACCAGCCAATATAAACAAAAAATTCAAAAGGTACAAAACTCTTGTCTTCGCTTAATTTTCGGTATTCGAAGAAGACTGCCTATTTCTCACAAATTAAAGGAAATAGGATGGCTTAACATGTACAATAGAAGAACACTTCATGCTGCAAGTACATTTCACAAAATTATTGTTAATAAAACTCCATTATATTTGTACAGGAAAATCACTTATCGAACTGACGTGCACAATTTAAATATAAGACATAAAGGTATACTGTCTCCACCACCATTTAGGTTAGAGCTGTTTAGACGATGTTTCTCTTATAATGTATGTGCAATTTATAATAATGTTCCAAATTCACTAAAATCTGTCAGTCATGAAAAATTCAAGAAATCATATAGAAATGTGTTATATGCTGCATAGTTGTAAATGCTCAGATAGTGTTTAATAGGTATATCTCATGTCTTTCTAATTTCTTTTTTTTTTATTTATTTTTCTTTTCTGTGTTATGAACTGTTCAAGCGATATATTTATAAATATAATATAATTTTATTTTTTTTATTGTTTTGGGTTAAGTGGAAGAGCAATTCAGTGGTGAGTTTCATCACATGAATTGAACTTCGCCCTTTATTTCTCATTTTGCATAAAATGTAGCGAATTGATATATATGTAATTTTGTAAATATTCTGTATATTCAAAATGAAAATAATAAAGACATTTATTATTATTATTATTATTATTAAGTGTCCAACGTCTATGTTACCACTTTATTTGTTTATTATTTAATTATCTAATACCTATATTGCTAATTATCTGAATTCTTAGTATATTTGAATTTGTTTTTAAATTATATGATTTGTAAATACTAGCCAAAGGTTTGATTTTTTTTTATCTAATATATTTGTTTCCCCCTGGGGAGAAATAATTTTGTTTTTTCTAACAAAATTATGTAGTTCCTCATACTATTACACAGTTGTTTTAGCTAATCTTTTCGCCATAAAAAATTAAATAAAACTGAAAAATGAACTACAAAAAATTCTAACCTAATTGTTGTTTTTTTTTTCATTCAGAAAAACATGAAAAACCTCATTTTAGTCATTTTTAGAAATGAAGTGAAGTTAGGTACATTTTGTGCGCACGCGCAATAGCGCAAATAAATACTTTCTTCCATTCATAACAGCCAGCTCAACATCTTCTGTTATCGACTACTTCAATCATACGGATATGACACCTACTGTTATTTCATACGTTATCTGTTCCCTGTTAGCATAACATAACCGATTCGTGTTAAACTTAACGTAAACGTTCAATCATAGGACCCATTATCTAAATTTCTCAAAAATATATTGGATAGAAGATGGCCATAATTCGTGAAATGCAATACTGGTGCCATCTATCAACAGATAGTCACACTATCGAGTTGCACCTAATACTTGTAGAGGTCGAAAATTGATTTTAAATTAACGCACATTTCTATCACGCTCGTGGAGGAACGATTATTACTCACGTTCATGCCTCGCAACGAAATCGAGACAGGCGTAACAAAAAAGCTACAAAAAAGTTACAAAAAATGAGCCGAGTCCGGGCTGGTGCCGCTACAAATATCCGCTAAGCTAGCGGATCCGCGCTTTTCTCAGGTTCAGTACAAGCTACAAAAGGGAGACTAGCGTAACAAAAAAGCTACAAAAAAGTTACGAAAAACCAGCTGGGTCTGAATCTGTGCCGCTATTATGGAATTTATGGAAATTCAAGCTAGCGGATCCGCTGTTTTTTCGGACCTGGGCTAAGCTACAAATTTGCAAATAGCGTAACAAAAAAGCTACAAAAAAGCTACAAAAAACCCGCCAGGTCTTGAATGGTGCCGCCACAGAGTGCCCGCTAGCTTGATAGAGCCTTTGGTTGAAGTATATAAATAAATAAAATCTTTACTAACTATATCACGTGCCGTTTTTTTGTATAATAGAAGTTTATTGTATGAATGTGATGCACCTTATATAATTTATTACAAAGTTATTCACAAAAACGAACACAAATAGAATTAATAATATCTCAAGTAAGGAAATAAGTAGCATATCGCATACCTCAAAATTCTGTCTTAGGTTCTATCTTGTTTAATTTTATTTTAAATAATTTGTCATTTAAATACAGTAGTTTCTTATAAGTATTACAAATGATATCAAATTGTCTCTCATCATAACTGGACTAAGCATATAATCATTATTACGTTATAGGATCCTTTCTTGGAAAGGTGTTTTACCTGATTATGCAAAATTGTCCTGCAAAAAATATTACTAATAATATTATGTAATAAAATGATCAGAAATTTCTCTTCTCTAAATATAAGTATAGGATATTTAATTTTTTTTAACGCATATCTACAAAACATATTTATTTTTAAAAACTTAATAATTTGTAAAATGTAGATTAATAAAGACATTGTCATAATAAAGACGTAAAAAAGTCAATATTTTTTTTAATACATTATTGCTTTGATTTTTCAAATGAAATCTCTCTGTAAATTATCCCAAAAATATTTTCCTATATTTATCCCACCCAACATGCAATTTTAAAGTAAAATTTATTTACATAATGAAGATTAATAAAAAAAATGCAAACTTTTCGCAAGAAAATAGAAATTCTTTAAAATGAGAGAAATCGGTAAATTTAGATAATATGCAAATGAGAATTTATTATTTTCTTTTCTACGCCCCTTTATGACAGTACGTCACTGGTAGACCGGAAACACTTGTCGCCATATTCGTCTAGTTCCACTGATCTGTATAATACAGATCAGTGTCTAGTTCACTGTCAAAATTAGATACTATCGCGATTCCAAGGTCGTTTAGAATTCCTCCTTCCTGACTATATATATTCTAAGGCTCACACACAGCATTTTGGCCTATTTGAATATTAATTTATAAGTGTCAAAAATAAAAAAGAATTTTTAAATTAAATACCAAGTAAAATGGATAAAATGATTACAAAGATCATATGCATGTGAATGCAGATTTTTCTTAAAAAAAAACATGTATGTGACTGGGTAGATGTTATGCTGAGCCCATTAAACTAAAGAAGTAGAAGAAGATGACAGTTGTTAAAAATTGATATGTAACCTAACTTTTAAGTGAATATTTATTGTAATTTTATTCTACGTATTTAAGAAATTAAATTTAGTAAACATGGTGTATTATTTTGAGAGTAACATAGTCTCACCTCCAATTTTATTGTTTATGGGTTTTGATAAGAATGAAAGTAAGGTTAATTTTTTTGTATAAACTTCAAAAATTTTAAAAGGTTTATTTGCAGATGAAGATCTCATACGATGGGGCTGGCCAGAAGACGTTTGGTTTCATGTTGATAAAGTGTCTTCCGCTCATGTTTATTTAAGATTGAGACAAGTATGTATGTTTCAATAATTATTGTTTTTAATTATTATATTACTTAATATACACCCAGTACAGAATCATTTTAAGCATTGAAGTGAGGTCCTAGTTAATGCCCAGTAACTGCTCCATATGATATTATTTCATTATTATTAATAAAGATTAGTAAGCAGATAAACCAATTATTAGAAAATCACCTTACAACATACATATATCAACACATAAACAGAACATTTTTTACAATACATTAACTTTTATCATAAAATTCATATATACAGGTTAATGGAATAGAATGTGTAAAGCAGTTTTCAGTTCTTCATTTAGCCAATTCTTAAACTGATTAATTAATTTCAATGAGACAGTGTCCTCTTGCAGGTTGTTCCAAGTTTATACCGCCCAGTTGCTTATATAGTTTTTTTTTTAGTAGCTTCAAATTTTTTTGCAGTACCCTTTATGTGTTCTATTCTGATAAAAATTACAAATATTTTTACAACTATTATTTGTATCTTTCTATCAGGTCATCTCTAAGTGGACATTCATTATGCATTTAAAGTTGTAGAATGGAAATCTTTTCTAAGTAAATACAGCTCTGAAGTTCTAGAGAAATTCTAGTTATCTTTCTTTGAACTTATTCAAGCATTTATATATCTATAACAAAGTGAGTTCCAAACTGGCATTGCAGATTCTATCCCATCAATCCCTTTTTTAACAACCAGAAATTATAATAACCACACCCTCCCCCTCATTTGCAGTTTTTTTTTGGCATAATAAACATGTTAAATATTTTGATTTTGAAAGGGTCAAACTATAGATGACATACCATCCTCAGTTCTTGAAGATGCAGCACAACTAGTCAAAGCCAATAGTATCACTGGCAATAAAATGAATGATGTTGATGTAGTGTATACCATGTGGGCAAATTTGAAAAAAACGCCAGATATGGATGTAGGACAAGTAGGATTTTATAAAGAAAAAGAAGTGAGAAAAATAAAAGTAGCAAAAAGAATAAATGACATTATTAACAGGTTAAATAAATCCAAACGGGAAGAACATCCAGGTAATAATACACCTTTTCTACAACAGAAAGTAAAGAATAATTGTTTTTTTAGATTTTAGAGCAGAAAGAGAAAAGAGAGATAGGCTAGAAAGAGAGGATAAGAAAAAGATACTAAAAGATCAAAAGAAGCAACAGGAGGAAGATGAAAAGAAGAGAAAGGAAGATGCTGAACTGAAAAGTTACAATTCTTTGATGAGTCATGACAATATGAGTAAATATGATGATGGAAATGATTCTGATGACTTTATGTAAAATAAGAATAGTAAATGTCAAACAGCTGCATAAGTTTATACATTTTGAATTGAAATATGGGTTTAAAAATTGTTTTTTTCCTTTTGTTAAACTATTTTATACTTATTAAATAACTTTTCATACAGTTTTTATTGATTTTTGGATGAATGAAAGTCGAAACATAGCTGTCTGATTTTTTTGTTCCTTTAGAAAATAATTTTTTTTTTTGGTGTTCCCTCCACATTTGAATTAAAATGGGTTATAAATAAAAAAGTTAATATTTTTTCTTTATTTGTAAAAAAGTGTACTACAAATATTTCTTTAGTACCTACCTATAAACATATAATAAAAAAAAAATTGTAAATGCTACTTAGGTACTGGACTAGTGTGTTAAGAGTAGCATAAATAAATTAAAAACGAAAATAAAAATTCTCCATTACATACAAATAAGTTAACAAAACAAATAAAAACGAAAAAAAGCATCTAGAACAGTGGCACTTCGTACCCAACTGTTAGGAACTTACAAAATCGTCTCAAAATGTAAAAAAAAAAAGTTTTTAAAGTTTGTCCAATTATATTGATTTTTCAATTAACTTTATTCTCAAAAAACTTTAATCAACCGTATTATTAAGTAGATGCACCTTTAAATTGTTCAATATAACTGGACAGTTTAAAATTATTTTTTTTTAATCAAATTATTCGAGTTAAAAATTGTTTAAAAGAAAAATGTTACAACAGAGAATTGACTAAAATACACCGGAATTTTGTACAGTTTTCAAGGAAATAAATAGAAAACAAAGTTTCACCAGTTTCCAGACAATATATCCCAAATTACTTAGAGATCTACTTGAAATGAGGAATTCAAAAATGTATCACACAAGCTCTTCCAAATGAAGTGCTCTACAAAACATCTCGCTTTGTAAAAACACAGAGTAGTTGTAATGTGGAAAAATTAAAGGGAAGGCAGGATTTGTTATCATAAAATGATTTGATTAAAGTAAAAAAACTACATGATTAATCAGTGACTCATAAAATGTGGATTTCTCAATCAAAATTATTGACACATTTCTAGAAAGTGAATGTTAAGTAGTATGTTCTGGTATTCTAAGTTGAACTACTAAATGACACCTAGTTTGTTCAAAACTCATTTTAGAATAAAAAGCCTGACGTCCCTAACTTAAATGGTAAAACTTCATTTGTATCACTCATTGCAATATTTCTATAAACTCCATCTTTAACATTATCAACTTTGAATCAAAATAAGTACAATTTACACTATGGGTTTGATCAAATATATGCATAAATACTAAATAAATAAATGTATTTGTGCATGAAATAATTTCGCTAGAAATACTGATAGTTTTATGATTGTGGGAATATAAAACTAAAAAATGATTTAAATTATTAGTAAAAAATATTCCAAAATGAATTCAGACAATTTTTAAAATGCCTATTAATGAATGCATTAATTTACAAAAAAAAAACAAGATGCACAAACCCAATAAAAAAGTTAAAAACGCTTTAACTCTTAATCTCGAAACAGTCATATTTTCATCTTATACAGGGTGTTTGAATATAATGAAATTTTAATATTGCAGAATGAAACATAACGTAAAATATACACCTTTAATATTAATGAAAGAACCTGATATTATTTTTAAAATTCTCTTAACACAAATACTGGAAAAATTGACTAGGATTTTTAGAACCTGCATATATCCATTCATCAAAAATTAAAAATATTGCGGCCTTATTTTTACTTCTAATATTTACCAATGGCATGAACCATATTTCAAGTGTTGTTAAAAATCAAAACACAAGACCCTAAGCACCCTGTATAAATAAATATTAATATTTTCATTAATTTGCAATCTTGTATAAGTTTAACAAAAATCTGAAATAGTTTGATTACAAAAAAAATTAAAGATGTTACCTGTAGTTGAATAAATTAATATTTAAAAAAATTCTGAGAATGAGAACCTTAATGGTTTAATAATATGTGTTAGTGAGAAGATTTGCATAATCTTAATAGGTGATTAAGTGGAAAAATTAAACAAAAAAGTTCAGATCTCACCTTATAAAAAAAGAGTTTGTATCAAAAAATGTCGTTATTTTAGAAATTTACTCCTCATATTTTTCATGTAAGGGCGAGCCATAAGAAGTTTTACTATAAAATTAAATAAATGTTAAATTATGTTACATACACATACAAATTTGTCAATAAATGTGCCACAGCCAAATAACAGATCCATTAAGCAATTTTTGCCTAATTGAGCTAAAAGTCTCATACTTAACGGACCTTCGTAGCCCTAACTTTACACACTAAAATACTACTATCCATTTTTCCTACTTAATCACCTGTCAAAATTGTGTTATCCCTAACATCCTAGCTGCACATGTACATAAAAATAGAAATTTCTTCATAAAAAATGTCTAATAAAAGGTGGGTTTAGTTAGTCAGGATGTTTTAACTGTCACTTAAGTGTGTTGAACTGTTACTAATAGGAATAAACGAACCGGTAAAAGCGTCGATTAGAGTCAGAATATAAACTACCGCAGCTAAAGTTTTTTTCTATTTTTAAGTAGTTAAATATTTAAAGATGCTTTGTGAATGGGAATGTATTATTTATAGATAATGATACCTGCATTTAAAATTGTTAAAATTATACTGTTATACCTAAAACCCTGTAAATTGGTGTTATTATAGATAACAATAATTCCTACACTAAAAAAATATGGTATATTTTAATATTTACGGTAACTACTTTTAATACTTTGTTTTTTTTAATACGTATTTAAGACAAAAAAAAAATTGACTAAAAGGTGCTAAAAACTAAATATCACAGTAGAGTAATGTTCACAGCCATTAATGAATCAATAATCCAGGTTGGATAGCATTTATCAGGATGTACACCCAGCATAAAGGCTTGAACAAATTCAGGGAATTTTCCCTCACAAATGCTATCTCTGATTTTTTGCATCAACCTCATTTGGAATGCAACATTATGTTCTGTCAAGAGAGTGGATGCTATTGGTAAATCGGTGACGATGCCACTGAGGTAGGCTCTGGTATAATTTTTGCAAGTACTGCACCAGCAATCCTTGTCAATTGGTTTGAAATCTTTGGCGTATTTTGTTTTTTTGAGGTTCAGTTGTCCTGTCATGGTTAGAGCACAACCAAATCTCTAAAATGAAACAATATAAAATACCTGTATACATAATTTTATTATAATTTTAAAATTGCTTCAATAGTATTGTCAAATATGGATAATTTTTGAAGTCATTTTTTTGTTGATATATGGAAATGTAAGGTCTAAATATACCATACCACTTTATTAAAGAGTTTTTAACAAACCGTCTGCCAACTAGAGAGGTGACGAATCATAAAAAAATATTTAAATCGAAGATTACTAAATTATTTATATCTTTTTTTTTTTGTTTCCAATTATAAAACAATTTTCCTAACAAGAATTAACTACATTAGTTATGTTAAACTCACCGCTGTTCTTGTAGGAAATACACAATCAAACATGTCTACACCTAAAGCAGAGCATACAACTAAGTCCGTAGCAAAACCTACTCCCATTAGATACCTGGGTTTATTTTTAGGTAAAAGATCTGTACATAAATGGACGATTTTCCAAAAATCATCTTTGCTTTCACCACCACTACAAAAAAAGGATCCTGAATGTACTAAGACTAAGATGTAATCAGATGTTTAACTTTGAAAAATCTATTAGAAACTTTTATTTATATAATAATTACCTTAATCCACCAATGGCAAATCCATTTAAATTTCTTTTAGTTAAATCATGAGCACTAATTATTCTTAAATCTTCATATAAGGTTCCCTGTACAATTGGAAAAATATTTTGTGTATCTGGATTACTATGAGCTTCTATACACCTATCTAACCATCGAGTTGTTCTAAAATGATTACTTTCTACCATTTGAACTTGTATTATTTATCATGTATTAATTACATTACCTATAAACAGATTCTTCTATCCTACTTTTGTCAGGAGAAGTAGTTTTAATGACATCATCTAACTGCATTATTATATCAGCACCAATAGCATTTTGGATTTCAATAGAATGTTCAGGAGTTAACATAACTTCTCCTTTTTCCTTATTTAAGGATTGGAATTTTACTCCTTGTTCATTTATTTCAGCTAATTTTAACAGAGATACCATTTGAAATCCACCAGAGTCTGTTAACAGATTCCTGTCCCAGTTCATAAACTTATGCAAGCCTCCAGCCTTTTTTAAAATTTCTGGCCCCTATAAAAATGAGTTAATTGTATAATACTGTTAGGAATTATGTAGTCATTGTAGATTATTCTAGTTGCCATTCCAGGCAACTAGATAGATTGCCACAAATACATGCAGTAAAGGAAATGTAACTGAGTGTATATATAAAAAATACAATAAGCAAATAAATAATATACAGTATCTTTAGTTTCCCACAAGTCTCTCATGTGCAAATATAATAGACTGATCTTTATTTCGAAAGATTCATAAAACGTAATAAATGGGCATATCAAATATATCTAGGACGTATTTTCACTAGGATTACAACTACAATTTATTATGAAAAACTTGGTTACATACTGGTTTCGTTCCTAAATGGTAAGTGTTGGCTAACATTATTTGCAGACCCATTTCATTAAGTTTCTCTGGAAGCATTCCTTTCAAAGTACCCTAAAACATTCGAATCCGAAGATATCAATATGTATAACACCCAAAAACTAACAATTTTTAAAAATAAATAAATAAATACCTGTGTTCCTACTGGCATAAAAACAGGCGTATCTACTGGACCGTGAGGTAAAATCATTTTACTGGCACGTGCTTTGCTTGTTTTACATTCTGCTATTACATTAAACACTAAAGGTTTTATAATATTCGGCATTTTAGTTAAAATAAGGAATGGAACGAAATAAGTGAGGTTATATTAGTTGTTAGGCAATCCAATGTCCTTGTCCTGTCAAAATGCTGACAAGTGGGAACCAATGCAGTAGAGTGGAGTAGAATGATAATTGTAAATTGTAAACAAAATTCAGGGACGGTTTAAGAACATTTTGTGCAACAATTAAAAACAGCATCGGAAAATAATTAACAGGTACAATACTAAATTGAAATCAAAGCACAAAAAATCACAAATATAAGCTAGCCATGACTGCATGCTGCATGGCATCACTTTGACACTCGATTAATTTCATTAGACGCTTATTATTTTCCTAATGAAATTGCGTGTGAGTTGTTATTTTAGGGACTAAAATTTCAATATTATCAAGTTAGATTAATTTTAATATACTCCAATAAAGGGCCAATGTTTTTTGCAATGTATTCGACTCGACCCAATCAATGTTTCCCGGTCAACTATTGCATGCTCGAATCGTGACATTTTAGGTGGTGATTTCAAATAATTATATTATCAATGGTGTCTCTATAGTTATCAACCAATAGTTCCGAGAATATTTTGGTATGAGACAAATATTTGTGAAAAGTTTCACATAAAAAGTTACTATTTCCTTATATCTTCTGCCGTAACCTTGCGCCGATCTTGTCGTGTCAGTAGTGCCATCTTAAAGTTATCATGGCGCCCAGCATGTGGGGGATTAAATTTCATTTTCGATGCTGTATCCACTGAACTAAAACTGGAAGAACAAATGAAACAGTTACATAGATTGGATCACCCATATTTTTCAAAATAAACATAAGCCTATGCCTTCAAGTAAAAATGTAAGCAATTATTATTTTTTAAATATCTAAAGGCTGAAAATTGGTTTTAAAACAAATTTTTGTTAAACCGATTCAAATTAATAAATCTTTTCCAGGCAATATGGCCGTTCGCAAACGACCAGCTGTGAGCAATCTATATAACTATATATGTATCATTGACCCTGTTAATGACAACATAACAACAGGGTTGCCATATCTAAACTGTCAGTCTCCACTGGTAGCCATTTGGACAGTTCGTTGAAATGCCTAATGCTGTGTTTGAAAAGTACCTCGTTTTGCTTCTTTTACTCGATACCGCCCCTTTTGCTTCGTTTGCTCCATTGCTGTGGTTTGCTCGATGTCACGTGACCAAAAAATCTACTCGATCTGGTATTTCAAACGTAGCATATTTATCAGATAGCAAGTCGCCGTTAAATAGCTGCTTTTAAAAACACTGAACTGTAAATAAAAATTAAATGGAATTAAATAAAAACAATGAGTTCTACAGAAGATTTTACTGGACAAAGAAAAACTAATGTAGAAAACACTTTATTTTTAAGAGGAACTAGAAGTGCTGTTAAAAAAAGACCTTTCTTTCCAAAGGAACTTATAGCACCATTGGTTCCATTGGATTTAAATGCAATTAGAAGAGAACTTTTGGAAGCCGAAAAGGAAGAATCTGCTAAATATGCTGAAGAAAGCGATTCAATAAAAGAAAATGGGGAAGACATTTTAAATTTGCCTTGTGATATTAAGACGAAGAAGGGCATTGAAGCAAGCAAAGCATCTAAAGAGAATTTTCAACCTATTAAAAAGGTAATATCAAGAGAGAATAATAGTTCTGATTTGGTTTTTTCTCCTCTGTCTCTTCAGACACCATGGAAGAAATATACTCCATTTAAAAGGCCTGATGCTAAAAAAAATTATTGTGATGAAAATGTAGAAAATGACAGATTTAATAAATTTCTAACTTCAACAAATAAGAAAATAAATACTCCTAAATTTATTTCTACATTCAAACAGGAGGAAATAATACCAGAAGTAAATAAAAATAATATTTTATGTTCAATACCAAGAAAAGTACCTGAAAATAATATACATAGTAAAATTATAATTAACAATGTTGAGTATATGGTCTTAAATATTCTTGGAAAAGGTGGCAGTGCCATTGTTTACCAGTGTTTCTGTATAGAGGAAAAGACTATTGTTGCTATTAAATGTGTAAATCTTGAAAAAATCAATATGGCCCAGGAATACATTAATGAAGTGAAACTTCTGCAGAGGCTTCAGAACTGTGACAGAATTATAAAATTATATGCTTATCAGTTTTTTGAAGGGGAAAAACAGCTATTTATGGTTCTAGAAAAAGGTGGTAATGATTTTAGTACAGTTTTGAAGAATTTGGCTAGCCAGGAAAAGAATATTCCTTTATATATGCTAATTTTTTATTGGATGGAGATGCTTTTAGCAGTTAAACAAATACATGATAATGGTGTAATACATTCAGACTTGAAGCCTTCAAATTTCATATCAGGTAACATGGGATTAAAGCTTATAGACTTTGGTATCGCCTGTAGTGTTCAAAGTGATATGACAAGTGCTTTTAAGACTGTACCAGAAGGTTCTTGTAATTATATGAGTCCAGAAGCTTTAAATAATGATGCTAATAGTCCCAGTAAATCAAACTATAAATTACATTACAAATCTGATGTGTGGTCGCTCGGTTGTATTTTATATGAACTTGTTTATAAGAAGACCCCATTTCAACATATTAAGACAATATGGGTAAAATTCTCTCATATTACAAATCCACAGCATACAATCGAATATCCAGAAGCTAAATGGTTGCCTCCCAAAGTTATAGACACTATTAAAAAATGTTTGCAGTATAATGTTAGAGCCAGACCATCAGTAGATGAGTTAATAGCAGAGTTTGAGAATTTTTAGTGCAATTTACTAATTTTTATGTTTTATTTAATTGTAATGACATTGAACAGTTTTATATAAATTATATTTGGTTTTTTTTGCTTGGATACTTGGACTTTTTCCAATATATTAAAATTTTACTTAAACATACCACTTGCATGTTACTTTCATATTATTATGGCCTTATTAAGAAGTAATTATGCTCTCAAGATATCAATCAAGCAATTAGGTTCTATTGCCAAAACTAAGACAGCTTATTTAATATCAGCTAGTGGCATCTTTTGTACTTTGAAAGTCTGAAATCAAAATGCCAAATAAGGCAATAGAGCACCTAGAATTTTGAACTAAAACATGCTACATTTTTAACAGACTTCAAAAAAGGAGGAGGTTCTCAATTTGTCACAATATTTTTCTTTTTATGTATGTTCAGTGATAATTCTTTAATTTCATCGATTCATTTTTGGTAAGAAAATGGGTACTTCAGGAGTGGTCCCATATAAATTGGGTCCATGAGAAAATCCTCAAACTCTTAATTTTTTATGTATGTTTAGCGATCATGCTTTACCACCTTGTCTGATTTATATATGATTCTTTTTTTGTTAGTAAGGGGGTACCTCAGGGGTAGTCCCATATAAATTTGTTGAAGATGTAATGATGGCATCTGCACGGTTTTGAAGTCGTTTTTTTTTAAATTTTTGATACTTGTTAGGCTATTTTTATACCCTATTAAAAAAATTTACATTCCTCATTTTTTGCAAAAATGAAGCAGCCATTAGAACACCTCAGTGTTTTTAAGTTTTTTTTTTTAAATAACCAATGTACTTGACATGTAAATATTGGGTTATTTTATTCTTCTATATTTTCAAATTTTCGTGTCCTTTTTCTTGAAGAAATTTGGTCGAATTCTTCTATTTTATTTAACATATTAGTTGGTCTCTACTTTGTTACAATGAGGAGTAAAAAATAAAATTATCCAAATTATTGATGAAGACAGGGCAGTGTCAAATGACCAATTTTCTTAAGGAAAGAGGCCCATAATTTTCTCATGGCAAAGAAGACGAAGGCTGACATTTGACAGATTTTTATATTTTTATTTGATTTGAATTTAATTTTCCCTAATTTTAATTTGTAATTATAAATGCTGTTATTTCTTAAATGAAACATGCTTGAGTAAACGTTTTATGTAAAAAATATTTAAATTTTTGTCCCAAAAAATTACACTACTGGAACAAATGATTTACAAAGGATAATTAATACCAATAAAAATTATGTTTAAACAATATTTGGAGGTGGTAAATTACCCCCATTACCCTCCTCCGTATTTCGTTTTTGGACTAAGGTAAGTTTTATTAAATATGTTTACCCAAAGTTGTGCAGTTTTGCTGTGTACCATTAATTACATAAAACTTATGTGGTAAAACCCAATAAGTCATTAAAGCTGCATATTGTTATTGCAGACTAAGCCAGACGAGCACTGGAAAAAATTAATAATTACGTTAATAATAGAGAATAGGGAGTAAATAAATTATCTTTGTATTTTTTGTATTGAAACGGGTGTTTTTTTTCTCACAGTGTAGGTAAACATAATTTAAGTTAGGTATTGTTTAAGTACCCTTTTTCCTGTGTATTTTGTATTGAGTAATTCCTCAACTACATAATTATGTAATAGAAATAATTAATTACGTTTTAAATTCTACGAAATAACTGTCTACTTAATAATTAAATACAATTATATGTAATCCAAAATAGTGAGTCGCGTTTTCTAAAATTTTGATGATTACTTAAATAAATACAAAATAGCATTTAATATTACAATGTAATTATTGCATGCATCTTCTAGTTTTTTTAATAGTAAAACGCGATGCAGTATCGTATTTAAAAATTGAAACCGAGATATATAGTTTTTAACTGACTTCAAACAAAGGAAGAGGTTCTCAATTCGTAGGTTTTTTTTATATACAGGGTGTTATGCATAAGTATCGATACAGAATAGGTGTTAGGCACCCCAAAATATGATGATTTAACGCAATTTATTTCTAAACCAAGTTGTACCCCTAAGGAGTTACGGAAGCCTAAAGTGGGGCCATAAAATTCGAAAAAAAATAATATATCTGCAACCATTTAACTTAAAAAATCTATATTTGGTTAATTATGTAGGCGCTTCATGAGTCTTAATTTGGGGGGTGAGTAAGAATTAATTGCAATATTTTAAGGGGTGGTTTTGATGACAAAAAGTTCTGTATATAGTTATAAGATTGGGCTACTCCAAAACCACCCCTTAAAGTATTTTAATTAATTTCTTACTCGCCCCCAAATGAAGACTCATGAAGCGCCTAAATAATTTACCAAATATAGATTTTTTTTTAAATTAAAGGGTTGCAGAGATATTAATTTTTTTCGAAATGTATGGCCCCATTTTAGGCTTCCGTAACTCCTTAGGGGTGCAACTTGGTATAGAGGTAAATTGCAATAAAGCATCATATTTTGGACCGCTCAACACGCACTTGTTCTGTGTTGGTACTTATGCGGAACACCCTGTATACGGCGTCGTGCGATATGGCCACCATATTCACTCTCCACTCTTGTTACACTAACTAATATTTTCATTTATATATTATTTCGTTGTATACTTCTATAAAATACAGTATTTTTTTATAAATAATTATAATAAAGATTATCCTTGAAAAAATGAAGAGTTTGATGATTTTCTCATGGATTCCATTACTTGATTTTGACCACCGCTGAGGTCCCCCCTTTCTAACAAAAAAAGAATCCTTGAAATCGGACAACGTGGTAAAGAATTATCGCTAAAAAAAATATTATAAATGGTTAGTGAATATATTATTTACAATAAATATATTTTTTTTGTATTATCCTGTATATTTCTACTCATAGTATAGACAGCTTTGGTTTTTCCCTAATCTTTCAAAATACCAAAATAAGCCCCAATCAAAGGTAATAAAAATTCTCAGAACGGATAATAGTCCGTTATAACTTATTAAACTTAGGTAGTTGGTACTAATCCAAAACAATTTTAAAAGATATGCCTGGTACTTCTGAGGGTTTAAGGAGGGAGACATAATTGATAAACAGGCTATTGCTGACAATAATCAGAGACTTTTAACGATATTTAAATAAAACATTTTATAAGCGGTCAAAAATTACATCGTCCTTCGAGTAAAAATAAGTTTTTTGACAAGTTTTAGTAGTTTTTTTTCTCCTGCTAGATCTTTAGTGTAACGAGACGTGTAGTTCTTCTAGAGTGAGTACAGTAAGTATATACCTCAATTTTTTGCTAGTATCTAGTATAATATTTGGAATGCGTGCCTGGATATGGCATTTTGGTAATTTCTGGTTGTTACTATAAATATGAAACGACAAATTTTAATATGTAATCTTATTTTGTGAGATACCTACAAGGTAAGTACGTAAAATAGTTATTCTATTTAAAAATATTTTCTTGCAACAATTATTTAAAAAAAAAATGCCTAAAAAAATTAATAAAAAAACGCTCATGTCAAAAAATTTACTTTTTGCTTTAAGTACTTAATACTAGAACTATCAAATTATATTATATCTAGATCTTCATCCTTTATGTTTATAGGTTTTGTCTCGTTTAAAATGACCAATGTTTTGTTTGTATTTATTTTCATAATATTTATGTTCAGTTTATTATTAGCTATTTATGCAACTAGTTACGAAATACCTTATTTTATACAACGAGTGAATATTTGCAAGACGAACAGAACAAGGTCCCGCAACAAGAACAAGTTACATAAAACGGCATTTTATAACGTGTTACATACAATATTTTTTCTAATTTTGACTAGAGATTATTTATAAAATTATTTTTTGGTAAAACATTACTGTTATCTAGGCAATCAATATTAAGTTATGTTGGGAATGGGGTAAAAGATCTATTATGCTCCTTATGACGCTAATGCAGTAAATAAATGTATCAACGCCTATAACGACTTTTCAAATCTTATCTTCTCAAGGAAGTGTAGGATTTGGAGTGGCTTCAAGTTAGGTAAATCTCCCTCTTCTATTTGATATGCTCCTAGGTATAATGTTCTTGGATTATGGGGTTTCGTCGTTCTCCTCACAGAATCTCTACTCACTATCATCTACTACTGTCAGTTTACTAAGATGTTCTTTTGAGTCGGCAATGCCCAGTAAGGACCCCTGTTACAATACGTACCCTGTTCTTGCTCACACAGATACAGGCTTTCGATCTTTTCTGATTATATTCACGCAGAAGTATCTTAGCCTTATAACCCTGTAAGTGATGATTGGTCTCACTATTACAGTATACCTCAATCGCAGTGTGTTCGGGTTTTGCATACCTTTAGGGCCTTTGTGGCCTTATTTACTACTATCTCATGTAAGTTCCAGAGAAGTTTTTTGTCCAGGGTTAGGCCTAGGTATTTGACTTCATTTTTCCATTCCGTATTTGTTCCGTCTAATTTGATGCTTTTGAGATTGTTTTCTTTTCCTTAAAAAGGCTACTAGTGATGTTTTCGTGGGGTTTACACTAAGTTCCACCTCACGGCACCATCTTTTGGTGTGTTCTAGTCCTCTTTGGACTATATCATACAGGATATTTCCAAACTTATTTCTAGTAATGTCATCGGCATAACCTTGACAGGGTATGCCGATGTCAATCAATCTGCATAGAAGTTCGTTAGGCTCCACATTAGTGGGGATAGAACTCATCCTTGTGGACATCTTCTGGTTGTGCAGATGGAGATGGTATCCTGCCCTAGCTGTGTATCTACAGTTCTCGTAGATAGCTGATGTTGAGCCATCCATCTGGATGTGGTGCTATCTACGCCTATGTATGCAAGTGCTCTTTTAGTTTATCCTCTAAACATTTACAGGGATGATACAATAGGTTGTACGAAATAACCGGAAAAAGTTTGTAATAAATAAACAAAAAAGTCACGTGTTAGACACATCAGATTTTTCTTGAGACTGTTTTTTTTTTTCAATTACTTCTAATAATATTTACTATACACCATATAACGAAAAAATCAAAAGTAAATTACTTTTAAACCTGTATTGAAATTTCAGATGTTGCTGACTTCATCGTGGATTCCAGATTTACTACTTTTCTTCGCAACGATATCGTTGGTGTCATACTGGTACGCAACTAGAAAATTTAATTATTGGAAAAAGCGCAATGTCTATTACCAAAAACCGGTGCCATTTTTTGGCAATTTCAAAGAAGTAATTACTTTGAAAAAACCAATAGGTATATGGTTAAGAGAAGCGTACAATGCAGCCAAAGATACTCCATATTTTGGAATGTTCGTCTTTGATGAACCGTATTTGGTATTGAAATCTCCGCAGTTGATCAAAAATGTCATGATTAAAGATTTTAACAACTTTAGTGATAGAACTGTTGCTAGTCCAGAGCACGATAACGTTGCAAAAAACTTTTTGTTTTTTATGAGAAATCCCGAGTGGAAAACTAATAGAGTTCAGTTGACACCAGTATTTACTTCCGGAAAACTGAAGGTTATGTTTCCGACTGTTGTTCTAGTGTGTAAGTACCTATTAACTATATTTATATCGGGATTTGGTGCTAATTTTTAATTTGATTTCAAGTTTTATTGAATTTTTTTTTTTTTTTTTTTTAGAAAAAATACTTTAAATTTCTTACTTGATTATCTAAAATCAGATATATATAAAAAAAATATATGAATCAGTATTAAACTAATGTACAAAAATATTCTCCATTAAAAAAGAGTGTCTTGGGGCCATTTGTACCACCCATTTGCACACTCCAAACTTAAAATTACATTTTTAATGGAGAACTGTCATTTTCAGCTTATTGATTAACGATTTAGTGGTGCGAATGGACCTTGATAATGTAACACTTTGAAATATATCAAATTAACTCTCAAGCCGCTATTAAAAAAACAACAAAATCGTGCATTTTCAGTTTTTTCGAAATAAGTCAATAAAACTTAACATTTAATAATTTTGAAAATGGATTTAAAATCAGCATCAAATTCTTTAAAACATTCCCCATCAAACCATCGACCTTCTATCTCCTATATGAACTCTTAACATTTATAGATAAGGGATTTAAATTAACTTTTTTTTTATTTCTAGGTGACCGTTTACAAAAATATCTGGCCGACAATCTTGGAGTGTTGGAAGCTAAAGAGGTAGCCGCTAAATTCTCCACTGATGTCATAGCCAAAACCTTTTTCGGCATAAACGCCCACAGCTTCGACGACGAAAACGCTATGTTCCGAGTATTGGGAAGGAAAATTTTCGATTTCAGATTGAGAAACGGTCTCGTGAACACCGCTTACTTTTCAATGCAAAATTTGGTTAAACTATTTCGCATTAATTTTGTCGAAAAATGGGTTCTTGATTACTTTACTGACAGTTTTAGTAAAGCTTTCGTAGCTAGGGAAAATAGTAAAATTCGTAAAAACGATTTTATTGATATATTAATTGAAATAAAGAAAAAGGATGGCGGAAATGGAGCGTTTGGTAATTATATTTCGTTTATTTGTTTAGAAAAATAAATACTTGTTGGATTATTATCTTAAAAAGATTGATAAATGTTCTATTAAAAAATATTTAATATTCCTATTTTGGATTTTTTTGCTGGGCTATCTCTGTAGCAAATTATAATGATGTATATATTCATAAAATAATTGACTATTACCTATAATAAATCTGTTTTCTGGAACGCTGATGATTTTTAAAATCGGCTTTGAAGAACCATGTTTTATGCGACTTTGTTTTCTCAATCGTCTTCGTAGAAAGAAGGGCTTCCTTCCCATCAGCTGGGAACAATGGAGACTAATAATTTAGCCAGTAAAACTATATGATGTTTATAAAAAAATTGTAACATATGAATGTAGTTAAAGGATTCAAGAATCTAATAAAAAGGGAAATAAAAGGCACCAAATGGAGAGGTGCAATAAGAGAATAAAAAATACATTGATTGAATAAACAGTATTGTTAGAAGATTTTGTGTTTTCTACCTTTTCTTTAAAGATTATACCTCATTAGATATACTTGGTATACAGATTACCTTCTTACACTTTTTTTTTGTTTTAGATATGGACAAAATTAAAAGCGCCGGTATGCAATTTTTCTTTGCTGGATTTGAAACCACAAGTTCAACCATCTCGTATACCTTGCACGAATTATGTCTAAACAAGACTATCCAGAATAAAGTGAGACAAGAAATTCTAGCCAACATGAAAGAAAACGATGGATTAACATACGAAGGCGTCATGGGAATGAAATATTTAGATATGTGTGTTAAAGGTATTGAAATAACATTACATTACAAAATTGTCATGTCTGTCTGTCATATGCGTATTTGACATATATACAACTAAAATTTGAAATAGTTTTAGTAAGTAGTGTCCTAAATACAGGCGTTAGTTAATAGAGTAGATTTTTCTGATTCGATCGTATGGGGTATCAAATGGAATTTCTTTGTAATACTGTAACGTTTATTTTTGTAAATAGTTTATTTATTTAAATTTATGTTCACCTAATCTTATGACACTTTTTTGAAAAAAACGTATCAACGTATCTCAAAGAGTACCTATTGCCAAAAAATATCTAAAAAAAAGTTGTAGATTGAACGAACATTATCAAGATTGCAATCCGTTAAATAGTTTTTAGCAAATTTACAAGGACAAGGACAGAAATTTGGCCATTATTAATTCGCATCCTTCCCTCTAGCATTTCATAACTTTAAACAATACTATACCAATCAGAATATTTAAGACATGTTGGTGAAATCTAACCCAAAATGATTTTATATTTTGTATTATCTATATTCCTTTTTCATACTTAATATTTATCTTCTAGAGACACTCAGAAAATATCCAGTGTTACCATTTCTGGACAGAAAATGTTTAAACGAATACAAATTACCAGGAACTGATTTAGTGTTAGAAAAAGGAACATCGATTTATATTCCTTTGTTCGGTTTGCATTATGACGAAAAATATTTTCCAGAACCGGACAAATACGATCCTGAAAGATTTGCTAATCCAAAATGCAACAGTGAAGGGTTGGTCTATATGCCTTTTGGAGAAGGACCGAGAATATGTATAGGTAAGAACTAGAGTGAAAATTGTCATCATGCTTTACCATATACCCAAATCTGTTACACTGACCAATTGTTACGGTAAACTCATCCATTATGATTATTAGATGTCGATTGTGTAGGTCTTGATCACTATAAGCTTTCAAGCAGTGACCTAACTACAAACTATCTAAATGTTACTAATAATTCGTATTTGTTTAAACGTAAATTAATGATAGACAAAGGAATTCGATCTTCTTACATGCTATATAACTACTAAATATGTTCCGCAGAGTTCCGTTTTAGACCCGATTCTGTTTTCAATGTTTATAAATAATAACAGAACTAAATCTGATGAGTCGCCTAGTTTGCGCCTTGGCTCTGGTAACTTTTTTGCCTCGGCAATATAGTTCGTCTTTTCCTCCTAGTATCATAATGTACTTTGCATCTGTTTGAAAATTAATTTTCATATAAATTTAATTAGTGACTGTGATCTATGTCTAAAATTTTTGGATTATTTATCTGAAATATGCTTCATTGTGAAGTATTGATCTGCCTAAGCTATTAAGTTGTTTTTATACATCTAAGATGATCAAAACAATTTGTGATGGAATAGGAGTTGAGAAATGGCAATACTTATTAGTCTAAAGGAATTTCTATTGGACACAATTTAATTGTTCTTGAACACCAGTGTATTCTTGTTTTCTGTTTAAAAGTATTGAAACAGATGATTTTTTTTCTGCTGCTGCTGAGCTCCCTAAAGAAAGTAGTTTGATTGATTTTAGATATAATAATGTTTACGATTTATAAAACCACTCATGATAATCATTTAAATTTGTATTTTTTAGGAGAAAGACTAGGCCTAATAACGTCAAAACTTGGAATTATTTCTGTTCTAACTAAATTTGAAGTCGAAAGATGTGCCCAGACACCTGATCCAGTAATATTTGAAGCAAAGAGTCTTGTTCTTCAATCCACAGTTGGCCTTCCAATGGTATTTAAATATATCACTCCACCACCAGCTTAACACAAAAGTACAATTGTATCACCAAGTATTTGAAATGAGTACGAAATAGAATAAGTAACAAATTAATTAATTAATTGATATATTTTTAGATTTTTTTAATGTGATATAGGTTAGGTAACACAAAATAGTAGTTAAATTCAAAATATGATTATAGTAAAAATGATGGAGCGTTTTGAAAATTGTAAACTTTTTTGACATTATTGTTTCATAATGATTTAGTAAAGTTCGGTAAAACAGAATTTTATCAACGTTAAGGCTTTGTCACAGTTTTTTTTTTATTATTTTACTGCAAGATGGAATCTTCAATATTTCTTCTTCTACACCTACACACAACCAAACTTATATGGAATCAAAAATTTGATAACTAATTTTAAGCTAAGGCCTTTTGTTCTTAGCAAACATGATAATAAAGAAGAAACAATTGCTGAGATTTATTATTTTGTGAATTTTGTGTTTAGAAGTAAAATCACGATTATCCGGTAATTTTATTTCGGTCCAAAAAAACAACAAAATGCCTTCTATTGGACTAACAGATATGCAGAAGGGTGAGAATTATTGTTCTCATTGAACAATGAATGTCCCAATGAGAGGTAGCAGAGGTAGTAAGCGATACCCAGGATGTTGTATTGAAATCATAAGAAAGGTACTTGGAACTAGAAACTCTCAAGAACAGGCCCATACAAAGTAGTCAAAGAGTCACAACTGAACAACGGGACCGCTTTGTGTGCCAATTTACTTGACGAAATCCCAGTGTTTCTCATCCAGAGCTACAACGACAACTTCTGGAAGCTACAGATGTGAACGTTTCAATTGAAACTCTAAAAAAATACTTCGCGCATGAGGTTTGTACAGTAGGAAAGAGTTACAGGTCCCACCGTTATCTAGGCAAAATAAAACTGACCGGCTAAATTGGTGCCTCCAACACCAAAACTGGACAATTGAGAAAAGGCAAAATATTCTTTTTTGGATGAGACCAGAATTGGCCTAAGATCAGATGACCATCGAATTCGGGTTCTTAGAGTTCCAGGAAGATGAGCGAGACTCCACGCTGCCAGATATGTCCCAAGATATCAAAGAGGAACTGTAATGATTTGGACAGAGGTATTATGCTGGAAGAAAAAACTTCATTGTGTTTCTGTACGAGATACAGAATGGATATGTATGTCATATCAGTCTACTAAACGAGTATAATTTCGTATCTATTCTAGAATGCTACGTTACTAGATGACAGAAAGTTGTAATGATTCCCTTGCGAAAGGTTTGAGGTTCAAATTTTTCATGTACCAATAATTGATACAATCTGAAGGAAATGATTTTCTTCTTTGGTTACATTTGAGTTCGAGTTATTTTCCTTTTCTAGTATTTGTTTGATAAAGGTGAGTTATTAAGCATTACGATCCCAGGGGAGAATAAGGAATTAATAAAATATTTTTTTTTTTAGCTTTTTGAGATAAGTAATTATTTTTTTCCCATTGTAGGTAAACTGGGAACTTGAATTGTTGTTTACCCTCTTGCCTGCGGTTTTTTAACAATCTATTGAATGTTTCGTACATAATAAAACTCTTAAGAAATAATTTTCTGTCTTAATATTAAAGAACAATTATATATGTACCTAATTCATAATAGTCAATCGCGTTTTGTAATTTTTCATCATTTAAATGAATACAAAATAGTATTTAATTATTGCTTACATCTTCTAGTTTTGTATATTTTTTTTATAATAAAACGCGATGCAGTACCGTATTTAGAAATTAAAATGTTGAATATGTAGTACCTACTATAAGAGGAGATAAATTTGAATTTTATGACATCACATGCAGAACAAAATAGAATACTTGAAAAAAAATTTGATTTAATTTTTTTAATAGCCGATTTAGGTATGTTTGCTGATAACGATAGTATCACCAAAAGATACCATTGTCTATAAAACGCTAACATATTCCATCTATTTTGAAGTTCATTGCTATTTCTCTACAAAGTGAGCACTTTGTACTTTGATACCTATAATAAGTACTTCTTTTTTTTTCCAGTAATATAATTTTCAGAATGCGTGCCTGAATATGTAATTCTGGTAATTACAGGTTATTACTATAAATAGGAAACTACGAATTTTAATATATACAATTTTTTTTTGTGAGATACCTGCAAGGTAAGTACGTAAAAAAGTTATTTAAAAATATTTTTTTTCTGTGCTAATTTAGAAAAAAAATCCGAGAAAAAGATTTTAAATATACGTCAACAATTTTATATATTTTAATAATGCTGAAACTGTCTAATTATATTCGAATAGAGTTATCCTGAGTTTTGTTTTTTTTTTATTCCTTCCTATATTTTGTTTATCTAATTTTTTCGTTCAATATACTCTAAGGGGCGTTGGATATTACTTCGATATCCTTTTTTAAACTTTTCTGTACATCGATCTCATTATTTTTAGTTTTCTTATTATCTTACCTCGTATTTTTCCAATTTCCTCAATTACATTTATCCATTTCATTCTAGTTCTGCCTCTTTTTTTCCTTTTGTTTCTTTTTAAGTTTTTAACTAGCTTACGTAATCTAGGTTAGTGTGTAATTATTCAATAAAATTTATACGGATTTGAAAAATACATGTTTTAAAAATATTTTTGAATATACAGAATGTTGCGTGCTTGCTTGACAAATAAAAATGTATATTTTTTTAATTAGAACATCCTGTTTTTTATTTTAGAATGATTTAGTAATACTTTATTTAACTAGAAAGATTTTAAAAAATATTACAGGTTTGCCAAGCAATTAATTTTTTTATGAAATTATAAAATTAAGGTAACTGCACCAATAATTGACACTATTAGACGCTGATTTGTATTAAATAATTATTTTTACCAATAACAAAAAAAATTAAGCATATAATACGATTTTTTCTTGTATTATTTTCTTGAGTTCATGTATTTTTAGTTCTAATAATTTTGCTTTTCATGAAATAAATATTATAAAAAAAGTGTTTTGAAGTACCAGTCATTGACACTTGATTTTTTTCATGTACCAGTAATTCACACACCAATTATTGACACAAATTAAGGAACATTTTTTTATTATACTTTTAATTTTGAATAAATAAATATAAATAAACAGCAAATTCATAACACAAAAAATAAAAACAAAAAATGAAAATTTATGGGTGCTTTAGGCTTCAAAAATATCAATATTTTTTGAAAATACATATTTTATTCTGTCGCCGACATTGTGAAGTTCCGGTTGAGATAACTTTTTTTATGATATCTTCTATCTTGATTGTTGAAATATCACTATCAACAAGTTTAAAGGTAGTCGTTTCATTTGTTGATTTAAGGGATATAACTTCAATATCGTTTCGGGAATATTTCTTCTGAACCACACAGATATACCTATAAAAAAGTTTTTCTCTTTCCTCCTAAGAATTTCGCTAAAATAAAATCTCCTACATAGATATCGTCGTATTTGATTGGTATTTCGTTCTCTTCTTCATTTTCTAAATTAATACTGACATCATCAATACTGTCTCCACTTTCTATCCATTCTTCAGTTTCGGATGAATTGTCAAAACTTTCCCTCTTTACTGACTTAGCCTTGTTTTGTATTTTTATAATTTTTTCTTCCCTTTTTCGCTTTCTCTCTTCTGCCCGTTTTTGTTGTTGTTCTTGTTTTCTCTTTTTCTCAGAATCCTTTTTATGTGGTATTTTGGCCAAATTTCTGACGTAATAGCACAAGGAATTTGCTCTTTATTCTTTTTTTTTGAGTTTTTTACTTCTTCCGGCCAAAACAAGGCTCTTTTAAATGGAGTGGGAACTTCTTGTTTCTTTAAAGATAATACATTGAACGGCGTTGTATTTTCCAATGAATTTAAAGGAGATCTATCACTTTGTGATATAGTAGGAGGTGTAATATTGACATCAGAATGTATAACAATTTTTAATGGGGTCATATCAGAATCAACTCTTTGTTGTTGAAGGCCAGAAGGTCCTGGTCTCGAGTTGTTTAATATGTTTTCTACAAGATCATTTTCTTTCTTGTTGCAATTTTGGTTCTCACTTTTATTTATGTTTTCTAATGGTTCAACACCTAAATCGGATTCTGTTTTATTTTTTTTTTCATTGTGTTTCAAAACAATGTTAATTTTTATAATAAAACCATCAAAATTTTGGGAAAAAATGCGTCGTAAGTATAGGGAATAATAAATAAAGACATTTTTTTAAATAATTGTTGTTATAATAAACAGAGTATTGCATTTGGACAAAGCAGCTATCTATCAATTAAGCACTGTTGGGACACCCTGTATATGTGTCATAGGCTAACATTTTGGTATCGTTGGATAAGTAAATTCATAACAAATTGTTGCTAAAATAATATACAGAGTATTGAATTTGAAAAACTTGAGTAATTTGAAAATTAAAATGAGCCATATTTATTACATATGTTTCGAAACACTGTATAAAATGAATCAATTGTATCATAACTATTATAAAAAAAAATAATTGCCTGGCAAATTTGTAATATTTTTCATTTATATTTTAACGCTGAATCCAGTATTACTAAAACATAAAATACAGGGTGTTCCATTTAAAAAATTGCATGGCCATCCTGTTCAAACCAGTTTCTATGATCTAAATTGTTGTGTGTTCCATTTAAAAAAAAAAAATGCGATGACGTTATCACATGAAGGTAGTTCACTCTGTATAAAAAATTATTATTTTAAAATAAAAATATTTTAATAATTTAATTCACAAAAGTCTCAAAAATATACTTGTCGCTTTAATTCTGCTGCAATCAGGAAAGGGCCCACTTAGGACATTAGGAACAGACGTACCAAACCTCATCTTGACCTGACACAGAGTTCTTCTATTCGATATCTGTATCTGTAACGTGTGGAGGGTGAGTTACCCCACGGTACATAGGCCTCATTAGGCCCATTGTGCATTCTCCTGAGAAGATAGATATCTCCTAGCTTGTGAGCCAGCCTATAGATTTAATGTAGTTGACAACGTCGCCAAGAGGTGCTTCTCTTATATCGGCCGGTGTTAGCCGATACTCGCCGAACATAAATCTTCTAATAAATAAGAGCGTCGAGCAATCGTAAAGGATATGCTCAATGCTCTCATCTTCTTGTTCGCATCCTCTGCAGAGTGCGGATTCTGACAGCCCCATGATATGGAGACGCTTTCGTACTTGGCAATGACCAGTCAGAATGCCTGGGCCCAGGCGCAGATTCTGTCTAGTCATAGTCAAGTATTTGTTTGCTGCAGTGTTGTCAGGATAACTCTGCAGTTTCTTGTTTCATCCCATATTTCCTTGAATTTCAAAAGGGAATGTTCTTTGATTAAGTCTGTCACTATCGATTTTGTCAGGCCAATAGAAGGGCTTCTATTCTATATCTCTTACATATTCGTTAGTATTGTTTTCTTCCATATAACTGATTAATATAGAGGAATCAGAGGGCTCTTTTCTATGTTTCTCTTTTAGTTCCTTTTTGGAATTCCTTCTTATTTCACTGTTTAACTTTCTTTTTTGATTGTCTGCTCTTATATTCTGATTATCTCCCTTTCCTTTTCTTCTTTATTTTTCTCTACTCCTTCATTTTCTAAATAATTTTTTACAGGAACGTTAGTTATAAGCAAATACAATAACTTCTTCCTTATGTTTTTTCTTTGTAAGATGCAAGAGACAAAGATGATTTTGCATAAGATGGTCCAGCTTCGGCACTGTTCAAGTTAGCTGAGGAAGTATTTTGCGATGGTCATAAGTTAGTGTTAATTACAGAAACTTTAGGTTCTTTTTAGTAACTAATGACTCAGAATCATCAAATATTTGAGAATTTACTAAAACCAAGTCATTTGTTATTAAACCTCGCATATTTTTATTGTGGCAAATTTGCCATAAGTAACATTAAATATTCCTGCTACATCTGTAATGACAATGACTTACCCTGGTTGTTGTATCAAATAATCATTGCATTCCCGACTATAAGCGACGTCCAGCGGTTGCATGGGATGACAGGTACAAAGAGGATAACAGCAGTGTAATATAGTTTGTAACGAATGATTGTCCATAAAGAAGTCTTACATTTTAATCGATATTTTCTTGCAACTGTTTTTATTAAATTTTTCATTAATATTTGCTACATCTTATAATAAAAAAATTAATTGAAATTTCAGATGTTGCTGACTTCATCGTGGATTCCAGATTTAGTACTTTTTCTTGCAACGATATCGTTGGTGTCATACTTGTATGCAACTAGAAAATTCGATTATTGGAAAAAACGCAATGTCCTCTACCAAAAACCTGTACCATTCTTTGGCAATTTCAAAGAAGTAATTACTTTGAAAAAACAAATTGGTATATGGTTAAGAGAAGCGTACAATGCAGCCAAAGATACGCCATATTTTGGAATGTTCGTCTTTGATGAACCGTATTTGGTATTGAAATCTCCGCAGTTGATCAAGCATGTCATGATTAAAGATTTTAACAATTTCAGTGATAGAACTGTTGCTTGTCCAGATCACAATAACGTTACAAAAAACTTTCTGTTTTTTATGAGAAATCCCGAGTGGAAAACTAATAGAGTTCAGTTGACACCGGTTTTTACTTCTGGAAAATTGAAGTATATGTTTCCGACTGCTGTTTTAGTGAGTAAGTACCTATACCTATTTTTTTACTTTAATTTTTTTTTTCGAATTGGTTGGACTAGCTAAAAAGTTTAAGTAAATAGGAATTTCATATTTATAAACTATTTTATGTTATTTATTTATTAGTTACTGTAATTTGTGTTCCTGGAGCTGTTAAAGAATATATTTAAAATATGATGAAGTGAATAGGGAAGGGGTAAGTGTGGAGTAAAAATTGGTTAATTATGTTAAAATGTACAATATATAAGTTCAACGCATTTCTGTCTTCGTATAAAGAGTTGTAAAAGAATGAGAATTATTTTCACAAAGTTTTTTTGTTAAATTGATATTAAAAAAAAAAGCTCCTGTACTACACACTTACCCCGATATTTTAAGCAGGTGTATCATTGTATTAAAACTGGGCATTTATGCAAAACTGCATTTTTTCTGTATTTTGGGTTTTTCATAATAAAAATAAAAGGTTTTATGAATTTTTTTATTAAGCAGAACAAAATTTATTTACCGTTTGTTGTAGAACCATTTCAATAACGAAGCATTTTGCAACGATGGTACCTTTGTTGTAAAATTAACTTGTTAATATAATTGACTCATCTGTGGTACTTTTATATATTTCATTTATATAAGTATCTATCAATTTGGCGTCTATGAATTCTTCTCTACAGTCTTTATTGCTGTTTTCGTCACATAACATTTCTTCTGGGGTGAATGAAGTTTCTGACGAGGATGTATCATCCACACTTTCTCGTGATTCCGACTGTTTTTTCTGCAGATGGTATAACTATCTTTTGGCGGGTTTTTCGCTTAGGGAGTTTTTATTAAAATTGTTTCTAATTGTTAAAAATGAATCTACATTGTGCTACACTTTTTAAAATGAGTAAAAAAACCATTATTTAATAAGCCCAGTAGTGGCTCTAATGGGATTATCTATTGAGTTTATATTTATGTTATATTTATCAGTGTATGTAATTTTTCACAAAAAAATTCAAAGGCTTACGTAATTTTTACGGACAAGACTGTCTTTGGGGTCTATTCTGTAACACATCCGTTAAAATCTAGAGGCCTTTAAAATTTTAGAGGCCAGAAAAATATTTTTAAAATCTAGATATGGCAGCTGAAATGGATTGCTCAAGTTCCTAATTGACCTGTGATGTAATCGAAATTCGGTTCAATCAAAATGTATCCACATAAAACGCCATTATTATCGGTTTCGTTAAAAATTGAAGGTAAATTTTAACATCCCTTTAAAAACGATAATTATTAGAGGATTATTTTAAAGGAATCCGTTTAAATAATGACAGTGACAAGTTAGTGAACACGAAAATATTTTTACTTTAACGGCCGTTGAAATATAAAGGTATTGTTACAGAATAGACCCCTAAGTCTGTCACAAAATACTTTAGAAATATTTTTTGTGAATCACTTATGTCTGAATAAAAGAAGAGAGGTGTAAAAGTAGGAATATAACGTCACATTCCATAGGCGTAGATTAAACTTAAACTCTTAACATTTGTAGATGCTTTAAATTAACTTTTATTTATTTCCAGGTGACCGTTTACAAAAATATCTAGCCAACAATCTTGGAGTGTTGGAGGCCAAAGAAATAGCTGCCAAATATTCCACTGAAGCCATGGCCAGAAGCTTTTTCGGCATAAATGCGCATTGTTTCGACGACGAAAACGCCATGTTCAGAGTATTGGGAAGGAAAATTTTTGATTTCAGTGTTAGAAACGGCCTCGTAAACACAGCCTACTTTTCAATGCAAAAATTGGTTAGACTGTTTCGCATTAATATATTCGAAAAATGGGTGTTTGAGTATTTTATTGATAGTTTTACGAAAGCATTTGAGGCAAGAGAAAATAGTACGACGCGCAAGAATGATTTTATTGATATCTTGATTGAATTAAACAAAAAGGATGGCGGAAATGGATTATTTGGTGAGTGAGTTAGCTATGTTTAAGACATGTTTCAAAACAATCTGTATAAAATAAACTAAATCACCCAACCATTTTAAAACTATACTATGCCATACAAAAAGGCTACACATATTTTTAAAATACATATTTTTTGAATTCATATAACTTATTCGAAACTTGTTTTCGTGTCTATAACACAAATTGAAATATTGAACAATTACGAATTAATGGGACACCCTGTATATGGATTACCGTCTCTCTAGTTTTCCGACATTGTCAACTACATAGGAGGATGCACAAAGGGCTTAGTGATTGTAGTGAAGCCTAAGTGCCATGGGTTAATCCACCCTCCATACTTTACAGATACTGTTTCTCTATTTTTATTCTCTATTTTAGATATGGACAAAATTAATGGTACCGGTCTGCAGTTTTTCGTGGCTGGATTTGAAACCACAAGTTCAACTATTTCGTATACCCTGCACGAATTATGCCTAAACAAGACTGTGCAGAATAAAGTGAGACAAGAAATCCTAGCCAACATGAAAGAAAATGATGGATTAACATACGAAGGCGTCATGGGAATGAAATATTTGGATATGTGTGTCAAAGGTATTGAATTCGCATTTAACAAAGTACCTAACTCGAAAAACAAAATTGGCAAAAAAGGAACACACTATTAATTTGATTGTTTTTGCGTTATGACAACTTGAATAAGAAATAAGACATACTCCTCCACAAATACGGCTATCATTACTAACATTGTACGATTACAACTCACCCAGCTAATACAAAATTCACAATAGCCACTAGTAACTTTTTGTCAGGTTGGTATCTTCATAAAATCGCTATGAAATTGCATCAAACATAAATGGAGACTACTCAAAACTAAACATGTTCACCCTTTCAGTCATATCTTTGCTCTACTCTGGGGGTTTTAGATATTCTTTTCAATCAGGTTTGGGTTCTAGCCTGTCTTTTCTCCTATAGATATGCGCAGTGATTACTAATTTCTTGCAGCAAACTTGCATAACATAAAACTAGCGTTATTATATGAAAAGCGACTTTTAGTTACCATTTTTTGTATATCTTTCATAGTAATAATATTTCCATAAAACAAACACAATTATGTACGATCTATATGCTCTTTCAACACTAATTTATCTTGTAGAGACACTCAGGAAATATCCAGCGGTACCATTTTTGGACAGAAAATGTGTAAACGAATGCAAATTACCCGGAACTGATTTAATATTAGAAAAAGGAGCATCAGTTTATATTCCGTTGGTCGGCTTGCACTATGACGAAAAATATTTTCCAGAACCGGACAAGTACGATCCAGAAAGATTTGCTAATCCAAAATGCAACAGCGAAGGGTTGGTTTATCTACCATTTGGAGAAGGACCAAGAATGTGTATAGGTAAGAACTAGAGAGACAGTAATTAGATTTCATCTATCAGATCTAGTATTTTAATTTGTCCCAGATCAAAACTGTAATATCTCAAAAGTTTTAGAATTTGTAATAAGAATGTATTGTTAGCAAGGATGACATGATCTGTACAGTTCAACACTAATATCCCAACAGATTTTGTAGAAGAAAATGTAGAAACAAAATTTTTTGCCATACTTTGCTTATTATCTCAAATCCTAAAATTTTTGAGATGTTATAGTTTTGAAATGGGACAGCGATATGTTTTACGCTATAACTATTATTTATTTATTACAAAAAGTAGATTCACATACATTCATATTCACATTAGTCACTTATTACCTAAAATTTTTCTTTTATATGACTTGCTAACATGGAGTTTACTAGGGCGTCTCGCTAAAGGCTCCAACAGAAGTCGGCCATCATCTGGCTATCCCATCGTCATATATCGTTCATCCTGATGCAATATTTCTGCCTGTTTTTCACTACAATCATCTAAATTTCCTGGAAACCGATCTAAATGGTTGTGGAGGTAATATATTTGTATGCTCATGTTACAAAATTTGAAATCATAGTTTCCACTATATAATTCATTATAATTCCCAAGAAAATATTGTACTACTTGAAGAAACGAACACCAAGAGTTATATCTATTTAAGTTAGGGTGTGGTTCAAAGCTCACTCGTACTGAAGTTCTAAGCTTATTGTATCCCTCACAGTTTCTACCCCATTAGAGTAATTTTCTTAACACCGGATTGTATGTCTTTTTCTCGAAAGTTCCCATCCATAACCAATCCGCCGCCACATCCAAATTCAAAATAATGTTTCATATCGACGGACTTATTCGCTTTTTTTTTGTCTATAACAATAAAAATCAGTTGCAAACAGATTTTTTTATTGTTATACGTCTGAAAGGAAATTACTTAATTGTCAGCAAAAAATGAAAAACTTCATCAATAAAAAAAACATTATTTTAAATTTGACAGGTGGCACAACAGCTCCCACTATCGGGACATATTGTTCACACCCCTCCCCTGTACCTACCATACAACATGACATGTCACTTTTGCAGTTAAGGAACCTTTTGCTACTACTCCTAGCTCACTGAAGAAAATGGTTTGATTGATTGTAGATATGAACATGTTTACGATTTATCAAAAAACTTGTAATAATAATTATGGAATTAATATTTAAATATGTATTTTTTTTTAGGCGAGAGACTAGGCATGTTAACGACGAAACTTGGAATTATTTCTGTCCTAACTAAATTTGAAGTCGAAAGATGTGCCCAGACACCCGATCCAGTAATATTTGAAGCAAAGAGTCTTGTTCTTCAATCCACAGTTGGCCTTCCAATGACATTTAAATATATCACTCCACCACCAGCTTGATACTCAATGGAATGTTCCACCGCTACATAACTAATATGTCGATTATATTAGTCTACTGCACGGATATAATTTCATATTTATTTTAGAATATCAATTTATGTGACAGTAAAATTATAAATTAAAATCAGTGGTAATTATTATTTTTAAATAATTATTCTTAATCTTAATAATTATTAAATTACATTTTAAAAATTTGTAAATTTTCTTAAGTGGATCGTAGAAAAAATATATTGTACATCTCGATTGGTTTATATTTTTGTTGTAGAAACTATAAGTAATAAAGCATTTGAAACGTTTGTTTGTTTAATTTTGATTATTTGGCAGAAAAGCGAAGAGTTATGGAAAATTTGTATTACTGCTGAAACTTATACGATTTTTTGATTATGGAACTACATTTTCATACAAAATACCTTGTCGCTTTTCTGCTATCCTGATACCAAAATTTTATTGGCGAAAGTTGATCTTTTCGAATTCGGTACTTTGTATCAGGATAATAGAAACGCGAGGAGATATCGAAATTTTTTATTTTGGCCATAACTTTTTTAATATTGCTGTTAGAAAAAAACTGAGTATATTTTTGAGATCTGCCTTCCAAATTTTTTGACAAAAAATTTTTTTGTCTCAGATCTTGATGAAAATTGGGGTACATATAAAAGAAAGCACTAGAAATTAAGGGGTGAACTCAGTTGCTCCCTATATATAAGGGTTAACTTTTTTTTAGTAATTCCTCAGTTTGTAATGATCGAATTATTTCATAAATTCACACAAAGATAGAGAAGGACGGATAGTTTAAAATGCCCTTTACAGCTTGCCTCTATCTTGTGCCGTTTAGTAGTTATTCACATTTACAAATAAGTCAAATACCTTGTCGCGTTTCTGCTATCCTAATACCAAAATTTTGTAGACAAAATTGGATCTTTTCGAATTCGGAACTTTGTATCAGGATAATAGAAACGCAAGGAGATATCGAAATTTTTTATTTTGGCCATAACTTTTTTAATATTGCTGTTAGAAAAAAACTAAGTATATTTTTGAGATCTGCATGTGACCCTCTATCCGTACGCAAATTTAAATTGTTTTTTATTTTTTGAAAAAAATCGAAAGGGTATAGCCTTCCAAATTTTTTGACAAAAAAATTTTTTGTCTCAGATTTTGATGAAAATTGGGGTACATATAAAAGAAAGCACTAGAAATTAAGGGGTGAACTCAGTTGCTCCCTATCTATAAGGGTTAACTTTTTTTTAGTAATTCCTCAGTTAGTAATGATCGAATTATTTCATAAATTCACACAAAGATAGAGAAGGACGGATAGTTTAAAATGCCCTTTACAGCTTGCCTCTATCTTGTGCCGTTTAGTAGTTATTCACATTTACAAATAAGTCAAATACCTTGTCGCGTTTCTGCTATCCTAATACCAAAATTTTGTAGACAAAATTGGATCTTTTCGAATTCGGAACTTTGTATCAGGATAATAGAAACGCGAGGAGATATCGAAATTTTTTATTTTGGCCATAACTTTTTTAATATTGCTGTTAGAAAAAAACTAAGTATATTTTTGAGATCTGCATGTGACCCTCTATCCGTACGCAAATTTAAATTGTTTTTTATTTTTTGAAAAAAATCGAAAGGGTATAGCCTTCCAAATTTTTTGACAAAAAATTTTTTTGTCTCAGATCTTGATGAAAATTGGGGTACATATAAAAGAAAGCACTAGAAATTAAGGGGTGAACTCAGTTGCTCCCTATATATAAGGGTTAACTTTTTTTTAGTAATTCCTCAGTTAGTAATGATCGAATTATTTCATAAATTCACACAAAGATAGAGAAGGACGGATAGTTTAAAATGCCCTTTACAGCTTGCCTCTATCTTGTGCCGTTTAGTAGTTATTCACATTTACAAATAAGTCAAATACCTTGTCGCGTTTCTGCTATCCTAATACCAAAATTTTGTAGACAAAATTGGATCTTTTCGAATTCGGAACTTTGTATCAGGATAATAGAAACGCAAGGAGATATCGAAATTTTTTATTTTGGCCATAACTTTTTTAATATTGCTGTTAGAAAAAAACTAAGTATATTTTTGAGATCTGCATGTGACCCTCTATCCGTACGCAAATTTAAATTGTTTTTTATTTTTTGAAAAAAATCGAAAGGGTATAGCCTTCCAAATTTTTTGACAAAAAAATTTTTTGTCTCAGATTTTGATGAAAATTGGGGTACATATAAAAGAAAGCACTAGAAATTAAGGGGTGAACTCAGTTGCTCCCTATCTATAAGGGTTAACTTTTTTTTAGTAATTCCTCAGTTAGTAATGATCGAATTATTTCATAAATTCACACAAAGATAGAGAAGGACGGATAGTTTAAAATGCCCTTTACAGCTTGCCTCTATCTTGTGCCGTTTAGTAGTTATTCACATTTACAAATAAGTCAAATACCTTGTCGCGTTTCTGCTATCCTAATACCAAAATTTTGTAGACAAAATTGGATCTTTTCGAATTCGGAACTTTGTATCAGGATAATAGAAACGCGAGGAGATATCGAAATTTTTTATTTTGGCCATAACTTTTTTAATATTGCTGTTAGAAAAAAACTAAGTATATTTTTGAGATCTGCATGTGACCCTCTATCCGTACGCAAATTTAAATTGTTTTTTATTTTTTGAAAAAAATCGAAAGGGTATAGCCTTCCAAATTTTTTGACAAAAAATTTTTTTGTCTCAGATCTTGATGAAAATTGGGGTACATATAAAAGAAAGCACTAGAAATTAAGGGGTGAACTCAGTTGCTCCCTATATATAAGGGTTAACTTTTTTTTAGTAATTCCTCAGTTAGTAATGATCGAATTATTTCATAAATTCACACAAAGATAGAGAAGGACGGATAGTTTAAAATGCCCTTTACAGCTTGCCTCTATCTTGTGCCGTTTAGTAGTTATTCACATTTACAAATAAGTCAAATACCTTGTCGCGTTTCTGCTATCCTAATACCAAAATTTTGTAGACAAAATTGGATCTTTTCGAATTCGGAACTTTGTATCAGGATAATAGAAACGCGAGGAGATATCGAAATTTTTTATTTTGGCCATAACTTTTTTAATATTGCTGTTAGAAAAAAACTAAGTATATTTTTGAGATCTGCATGTGACCCTCTATCCGTACGCAAATTTAAATTGTTTTTTATTTTTTGAAAAAAATCGAAAGGGTATAGCCTTCCAAATTTTTTGACAAAAAATTTTTTTGTCTCAGATCTTGATGAAAATTGGGGTACATATAAAAGAAAGCACTAGAAATTAAGGGGTGAACTCAGTTGCTCCCTATATATAAGGGTTAACTTTTTTTTAGTAATTCCTCAGTTAGTAATGATCGAATTATTTCATAAATTCACACAAAGATAGAGAAGGACGGATAGTTTAAAATGCCCTTTACAGCTTGCCTCTATCTTGTGCCGTTTAGTAGTTATTCACATTTACAAATAAGTCAAATACCTTGTCGCGTTTCTGCTATCCTAATACCAAAATTTTGTAGACAAAATTGGATCTTTTCGAATTCGGAACTTTGTATCAGGATAATAGAAACGCAAGGAGATATCGAAATTTTTTATTTTGGCCATAACTTTTTTAATATTGCTGTTAGAAAAAAACTAAGTATATTTTTGAGATCTGCATGTGACCCTCTATCCGTACGCAAATTTAAATTGTTTTTTATTTTTTGAAAAAAATCGAAAGGGTATAGCCTTCCAAATTTTTTGACAAAAAAATTTTTTGTCTCAGATTTTGATGAAAATTGGGGTACATATAAAAGAAAGCACTAGAAATTAAGGGGTGAACTCAGTTGCTCCCTATCTATAAGGGTTAACTTTTTTTTAGTAATTCCTCAGTTAGTAATGATCGAATTATTTCATAAATTCACACAAAGATAGAGAAGGACGGATAGTTTAAAATGCCCTTTACAGCTTGCCTCTATCTTGTGCCGTTTAGTAGTTATTCACATTTACAAATAAGTCAAATACCTTGTCGCGTTTCTGCTATCCTAATACCAAAATTTTGTAGACAAAATTGGATCTTTTCGAATTCGGAACTTTGTATCAGGATAATAGAAACGCGAGGAGATATCGAAATTTTTTATTTTGGCCATAACTTTTTTAATATTGCTGTTAGAAAAAAACTAAGTATATTTTTGAGATCTGCATGTGACCCTCTATCCGTACGCAAATTTAAATTGTTTTTTATTTTTTGAAAAAAATCGAAAGGGTATAGCCTTCCAAATTTTTTGACAAAAAATTTTTTTGTCTCAGATCTTGATGAAAATTGGGGTACATATAAAAGAAAGCACTAGAAATTAAGGGGTGAACTCAGTTGCTCCCTATATATAAGGGTTAACTTTTTTTTAGTAATTCCTCAGTTAGTAATGATCGAATTATTTCATAAATTCACACAAAGATAGAGAAGGACGGATAGTTTAAAATGCCCTTTACAGCTTGCCTCTATCTTGTGCCGTTTAGTAGTTATTCACATTTACAAATAAGTCAAATACCTTGTCGCGTTTCTGCTATCCTAATACCAAAATTTTGTAGACAAAATTGGATCTTTTCGAATTCGGAACTTTGTATCAGGATAATAGAAACGCAAGGAGATATCGAAATTTTTTATTTTGGCCATAACTTTTTTAATATTGCTGTTAGAAAAAAACTAAGTATATTTTTGAGATCTGCATGTGACCCTCTATCCGTACGCAAATTTAAATTGTTTTTTATTTTTTGAAAAAAATCGAAAGGGTATAGCCTTCCAAATTTTTTGACAAAAAAATTTTTTGTCTCAGATTTTGATGAAAATTGGGGTACATATAAAAGAAAGCACTAGAAATTAAGGGGTGAACTCAGTTGCTCCCTATCTATAAGGGTTAACTTTTTTTTAGTAATTCCTCAGTTAGTAATGATCGAATTATTTCATAAATTCACACAAAGATAGAGAAGGACGGATAGTTTAAAATGCCCTTTACAGC